AAATAAAATTAAAAATGCCTTTGAGAATTTCAAAAAAATTGCTTCAATTAAGCTGTTTTTAATAAAAGGCATACCTTATCTAACTGATCAATAGATTATTACTTTCGAGATTACAAAAAACTCAGATTTAGAAAAAAGGATTTCTTGATTATACATTATTTTAGACAACAAAGTTATCACAGAGTGGCATGCAGCTCCTAAGCTGTGCTACTCTGAACAATGAAGAACATATCAAAAAAGACTGCACTCAATACAAGGAAGCTATTGAATTTCATCATCAATATAATGATTTTCTTTCTAATAAAAGAAAAGAAAAGGCCCTTTAGCAAACTTAGAAAATATAAATACATATCAGCAAGAACAAAATAATCTTATAGAAGAAGTAAACATTAACAATTCTTAATCAGATGAAATTTTTTTCTGATATCTTCAATACTAATGGGAATAAGAAAACAAATAACTCTACATCAATAGAAAAAAATTTAGATGGTCTGATTGATGAAGACATTAGTGATACTAGCAATGAAGTTCCTACTATAGAAAACCTAATAACAGGTCCTGTTTTGGAAATGAAGCAACCTATTTCTCTAAGCACACCAGTGGTGCTAATTACAAATAACAATACTCAACAAATTCAATCTGAGAAACCTGATAATAGATTTATTTTAATTCCACAAAGAAAAAAAAAATAAAAAAAACAAAAAAGATTTTACAAATCAGAAAATTGAAACAACTAGGCCAGCTTTATACAAGAAATCTTGTAATGGAGTACAAAACTCACAGATCTAATATCTGTATTACTCTATTTCTAATATAACTAGACAATTCAAATTTAAAATTGCAAGCCTTAATGTAAAAGGGCTGAACAATCAACAGAAACAACAAAATTCTTTAACTTTTTTAAAATCTTACAAACTTAAATAACAAGAACATATAGAGCTTTCTTAAAAACTAGTAGGTTTTTGATTCAATCTGGACAAACAAGACAGCTATACTTACAGGCAACAAAAATATAATATTTAAAGACATAAAAATGAATATAAATAATAGAATTATTACTACTAATTTTAAATTCAAAGAACTTACATTCCAAGTTTCCAATATATATGCCCCTCTGAATTCTAATAATAGAAAACTTTTCTTTGAAAAATAGGTACTATAAATCAATAAAAATGCTATCAATATAATTGAAGGTGACTTTAACACCAATCTATATCCAAAAAAAGATAGAACTAGTGAGGTTGCATCTTAGTAAGACCCAATAAGAGTGCAACTCCTAAACCTTACTAGAAACTTTACAGATTCTTTAGATTTTACAAAAACAAGACCCTTTTATACATTTTTCCAAAAAACACAAGACAATTGAACAATTGCCACTTATTTAGATTATATCTTTATTGATAAAAATAATGCTTATCTTATTTTACAAATCGATACAAAGTTTGACAACTCAGATCACCTTCTGATAGAATATACTCTTTGTTTTAAAACTGAAAAAAGAGAGTAAGCTTTTTGGAAATTTAACAAAAGCTGCTTTATGAATGAAAAACTAAAAAAAAAAAGTGCTAGAAGAAATTACTGAGTTAAAAGAAACAGATGACTAGAACTTCTATAAAGTTCATATATAATCTATTATAAGAGCATTCAGAAAGCCAAAAGCTGTAGAAAACAAGATTGCAAAACTAAACAAAAATATAACTCAACTAAAGAAAAAACTAGCTCATAATTTAGCAAACTCTTTTTTATATAATCAAGTTAACAAATTAAGCCTAAATCTCCAAGATGAACTATTACACTTTACAGAAAATAGCAAATACATTCAAAAGCACAATAGATCGAGTAGGGAGAAAAATCAACAAGATACTTTTTTACTAGATATAAAATTAGAAAAGCCTATTCATTTTTAAAAACTATTAAGGATTCTGAAGTCCTATTACATTTGAGTAAAAATATTTTTCAATATATTAAAAACACTTATGCCAAGATATATACAAAAGAAGACATAAATTTAACTTAGCTAAAAAGATTACAGAAAATTTATTTCAAGCTTCATCAACTCATAATTCAGTACTTATACAAAAAATTATCCAAGAGAAGATTAATAATGTTATTAAAAACCTTTCAAACAACAAAACATCAAATACTAATGGTCTAATACAGTATATGAGTTCTACAAACTTACAGAAGAAGCTATAACTCCAATTCTGTACAAAGTATTTAATTAAGCTTTAATTTCAAAAATCATGCCAATCTTATAGTGCAAAAGTTTAATTTTCTTAATATCTAAAAAAAACAACAGATCTAGAAAATGTGAATAACTGAAAACCTATATCTTTAGTAAATAGTAATGCCAAAATATTTATGAAGATCATAGCAAACTGTTTGAATTTTATTTGTGAAGAACTTATACTACATCAGCAACACAAATTTATACAAAACAGATTGATTACAAATATAGCTCTAAATATTATCACCACTATGAGAAACCAATCAGACCCATCTAAACAACACTGGCTGCTCTTTGTAGACCAACAAAAAGCCTTTGACTAAGTAAATTATAATTTTTTAAAGCTTACTTTAGAAAGCATAACTTTGATTCTAGATTTATTAGTCTAGTTTATAATCTTTTTTCCTGCCAAGTAGCCTATATTGTTGAGACAGGTTATATCTCTAAATCTTTTAAAGTAGAAAGAGGTGTTAGACAAGTTGATTCTCTTTCATCATTGCTATATGTACTAGCTTTTGAGCTACTCATAAGAACTTTAGAAAGACAAATGCAAGAAATCAAATTATAAAACCAAAATTTCAAAACCTCAGCATATGCTAATGATTTAACTATAGGAATTGAATCTTCTTCTAACTGGAATGAAGTACAATCTTTATTAAGTCTATATAAGGCTGCATCAAATGCAAAAATCAATAAAGCAAAAACAAAACTAGTTCCTCTTATCTCTATTGCATGAAGAGTAGAGCTCTGTAGTAAAGACCAATTTACTAAATTAGAAAAACAGAACATTATTACTATTCTAGACTACAAGGTTCTCATAAATAGTCAACCAAAAAAAAACTTTTGGAATACAACTATTAGCAAACTAAAAGAATTACTTGATAAACTTTTATTTAGAAATCTCTCTTTTAAGGGAAAAATTTTTATTACAAACTTTCTAATTCTATCCAAAATTTGGTATTCAGCCTATTTGCTGCCTCCTAACAGAAAGCAAGTAGCAGAAATAAACAAAATCATCTCCTTCTGAATTAAAAACTCCTTACTAATGCTTCTCAGATATTTTACTTTTCAACAATCTATAAACCTGGCAAATCTTTAAGCACCAATCATCAATAATACATTAGATGCTTGTCTAATTTCTGTTTGAATAAAACTTCTTACTTCAAGCTCAATATGAGCAGCATATAAAAGAGACAAAATATACACAATGCTTAAAAAAAAAATAAATATCTTCCCAATCCAGGCTCTAAGCTCTGATAATTTTTATTTAAAAGCTTGCTTACAGAATAAAAATCCTATTTACTAGTCTGGACAAGAACTAAAGGAAGGATTCTTGCTATCACTAATTGGTCTTGAAATAAAAAAGAAATTATAATCAAAAAAATAAAAGGAAATGTGCTTTCAGTTAAAAAAATCATAAAGCTTTTAAAGAAGACTACACCTTCTCCTATTTTAATTCATTTTGCATCTTAGTCTACTTAACCTATTTGGTTTTTTTTAAAGTTTATATGCAATAAAAAAAAAATATTTTTTGGCATTCTTTTCACAGAGCTTTTTCTTTAGGTTATTACTTCAAACATATTGGATTATCAGAAACAGATGACTGTATTTGATGTTCTGAGAAGCTATAAACTCTTAAACATTTTGCTTTAGAATATCTTAGAAGTAAAATAATCTGAAAAGAGGCATATAAGTTTCTTAACATTAATAAAGAAAAACCTTTACTGACCACTTTAGAAGGTGTCTTTCAAGCTTCTAATATTGGCTGCACCCAAGCATTAATTATTATAACCTGGTTATATATTAATATAATTTATAAAATTTGGTATTAATACATTTCATTAAAATGAAAAGGTTCTATATCTTTTTAAACTAACTTAGAAAACTAATCAAAGCTTGTATTTTAAAAGAAATACATATCTTAAAACATAACATACTAGGTTACAGACCTAAAACTGCTAAACTAATCTGTAAATATCTAAAATGTACATAAACTGCTTACAATATTTTAATATAATAATATCTTAATAAAGAGCAACATCTGCATTCATAGTTGCTGAAGCAACAGAAATACTCAAAAAAAAAAAACTCTTCAAGTAAACTATTTAAATTAGAGAATAACTAAAGTTGTATAAGTAGCTAGTTGTACACTCTTTTTATAATTATTCTTTATAGTTGTAATGCAATATTAGCTAAATATACTATCAATAAAATTTTGTATTATAAGTAATCACCTTAATATTTAAAAAAAAACAAAAAAAATAATAATATAATTAGTAAAATAAAAGGATATAATTCTAATATAATAGATAAGTTGTTATTCTTTAAGTAACAGATCTAATATTCAAATTTTACTTATTCTTTAAATTGTATTGCATACAAATTTGTTTGTATCTTTTTTTAAAAATTAATTTGTGATTTGCATAAGAACTAGTGATCTACAATAATAAAAATTGAAAATAAGATATATATATATAATTTTAATCTTTTTTCGAATCTGTTTGTTCTTAATATACCAAAAGTATTTTTTTAATCATAAATATGGTTAGGTTTTATTTATTTTTACTGCACCATCACTAGGGTGCTTTGAAATTGTGTTGAAATCATTATCATTAAAATTTGCTGCATCCTAGAGTTATTGAAGTTGTTATTAACTTAGAGTCAATTTTGGTATTGTAATTTTTTTTCAAGCTGTTGTAAGAGTGTAATGCTAGTCTAATTAGTTTTTTTTAAAGGTTATTAAAAGAAGTGCTAACCAAGAGGTTAATGTCAAATGTATAATTTAGAAGTACTACTATTAGCATTAAATACATTGCCTGAAGTTTTATTTAAGAACTATTCACAGATCTAGCAATTTTACTAATAGTATTATGTGCTTATTATATGTAATAGTATAATGGCTTGGTGCTGGGAAAAGGAATGAATTTGACAAAAAATAATATTTACAAAAAATTATGTAATTCTGATCAATAATTTTATGAGATAATTTTGTAAATATTATTTTTTCTCAAATTTGTCCCTAGTCCTAAGTTCATAAAAGAATATTATATGCTGTGCTAAATGGTAATAATGATTGCAAGTTTGTTATATTTTATGTAGAATTAATATATTTACAATCCTTTTTTAACTTCTTAGGCTATACTTTTATTACTAAACTTTTTGCTATATATTTTCTGCCACTATCATCTCAATCTTGTACCAAATGGTATGTATATACACAATAATAGTGCTAATTTATTTTAATTTCTATTTTGTTTTTGTTCTATTGTTTCTTTAAGTGCCACTGCTGCAGCCTGCTATGTAGTTCATACTTTTCATACTGCTTCTTTTTTTCTTTCACCTTTTCCTTCTGTTTTCCTTTTCCTATTTTTTATTTATTTACTATTATTCTATTTTACTTTCACCTTTATTATATTTTTATCTATTTCACTCTTTTACTCTTTCACTTCATTTATTACCACTTTCTACTTTAATACTTTATAAAAAAAATTTGTTCACTGATAATTAATTTACAAGCGAGCTTATTTTAGGATTATTAGATTAATTTATAGACAAGTTTATTTCACAAGCAAGATTATTTTATAAACAATTAATTCACAAATAAGTTTATTTCATATAAAATGAATTTATTGTAAATTAATTGTTTGTAAAAATAATTTTGTCTGTGAATTAATTAATTGTTTGCAAAATAAGCCTTTATGAAGATTGTTGATAAAATGATATAGATCTGTTAATTTTTATCTAAAGTCATATCATTAATGCTTTGCACTATTTCAATTATCAAGCTATATATAGAAAGATTCTTGATCTATTGGATGAGATGTTTGTAGAGTTGGGATAGGGTTAGTATTAGATGGATTAGAAATAGGTGAATAAGTGTTAAAAAATTTTAAATAAAGATCTTTTTATTGTTATGATGTATATTAGTTTGATTCTTATATTATAAATAATACTGCTTACACAATATGGAATAGCGATGTATCACTATAGTAAATATATTTGATATTGTTTTTTTATACATATTAATACTAAATAATATGTAAGATTAAGAAAAAGCATTTATTCTATTATAAAACTATAAAACAATCATAAATGTATATGCAGTTTTCAAACTAATGTCTATAAAAGTTTTGAAATAACACAAACTTTCTATTATATTGGCAAATTTTATAACAATTAGACTAGAAAATTGACTCAAAATCATGCACAGAGGTATACTTGAAATACTGCATATAGAATTTGCTTAAATGAATTTCTGCAAGCTTTGTTTTAAGATTATTTTAAGAGGTTTAAAGCAACTTCTGTGGTTATTTCTCAAAAATTTAGGTGATTCTGACAACATTTGAGTTTAAAAGATTTGAAACAACACCCATGCATATTACTTTGCTAAGTTATAAATAATATTTGTAATTCAAAAAAAAAAAAAAGTATATCACAATTCACATTGCTTATTTATAAAAGCTTTTAATAAAAGTTGATCCTAATCATAAATTTATTTTTATTTTTGAATGTATCTTAACTCAGTAATATGCCAAAATACAAAGTTACACTTATATCACAAGGTGAAATTATACAAAACTTACAATTTAGACTGAATGCTAAGAATTGGTAGATTTTTTATCTAACTAATAATGATGTAATATACCTCTATCCAGTTCATCCTAGTATGAAAACACTAACTACAATAAATCAGCGTAATTTCATAATTACAGTAGTTCAAAAAGGTTTTGAGCCTGGGTATTTATATCAATTCAAAGTACTATAAAGTAATATATATAAAAGTTTATCAGAAGTGATTATCTCTATCTATCAATAGGCATTTTCTACAAAAACTAAATTTGATGATTTTTTAGTTATTGGATTTGACAATTCAAAAATATATAAAATCTACTTACTGATATCTATTTTTATTCTTATACTTTTAAAATCAGGAATAAAATAAATTTAAATGTTTTTGGAATTGGTAAATCTAGCAATTCTAATTGGAAATATGCTGAAAAAGAATATCAAAGCTCTTTTATACATAACTTTTGCCAAACTTGATTATTATTTTTTTAGAAATTTAGTAATAAAGAAGCAATTGTTAAAGTATATTAATATTTTCAAGAAATATGTGATTTTCATGATACTAACCCTAATACATTTTGGAATCAAATTGGTATATTAACCCAATTTACAGGATACATGCTATTTGGGCTTGAGTATAAACAAACAAAATCGAAAATCAATAATGAACAAACTCTAACATATACTGTAGATGATTGGCAAAATGAACAAATTATAAACAAACTTTTTAATTATCATCTAAAAAAAATTATCATAGTGTCTATAGAATAGAAAACCCTTTTTATTAACTAGCTAAATCAAGAGAATAATATTATTAAATTTACAACAAAGCTAAAAAAAGTATACCCACCAGATTACACTATAAAAAACCATAAATTGTATATATGAAAAGCCTTATTATAACATATAGGATGTACTAATATAATGTCTTTTAGAAAGGATTCTGAGATAACCCTTTAAAGTAATAAGTAATAATCATATACTAGTACAATAGGTATAAACAGATTTTTTATTTTCACTTAAATGCAGATTTCAGTATATAATTGATTTATACACTGTGATCATAATATAGTGATTAGAGTATAATAATAAATATATATACCTATTTCTCTTATATATATACTCTCTTGTGAGTTATATTTTAAACAGTTTAAAAACAAAATCCTGATCTATATCCAGATGCTTATATATAATATTACTATACTTAAGGTGCTTGAAAGCATCTAAATTAATAGACTAGGATTCAATTTTTAATTAGTAAAAAAATAGTTCAGCCAGTCAAATAAGTTCATTATTACAATAAAAAAAAAGATGGTTTCAATATCTGCATATCAAACCATAAATCTTTAGCAAAATTGCTATAAAGATTTAATTAATTATAGTGTTGTATATAATCTCGATCACTAGCAAATCTCATTAAAAAATATGCTTGAGAGCACTCTTAGCATCTAAAATAGATATTATATTCATATAGAGTACCTTCTTGAATATACATCAAAGGATTGTAACAAGCATCCCAAAAGCCATTTTTTCAAAAGAACATAATTCTAACAATATTAGAATGATGTTCTTTTAGGAAAATAGCTTTAAAAAAATCAAATTAAATCCAGAAAATATGATATAAATATATATGCATAATTCTAACTTATGGTATATGTAGTTTGAATTTTGAACTTGTTTAAAAGATTCTGCACAAGACCAAGCTATGATAAAGTAGTTATACAAATATGAATGCCTTTGAGCTATTCTTGAGAGTTACAAAAATATTGAGGATCGATTTTGGGATGTATTTTAGAACACTTTAGATAGTAATATTTGTGAAATTGATAGAAAAAGAAGAATACTATATATCATTGCTAATAAACTTTCTTATAATATAATCAAAAAAAAATCACCTACTAGTATTTGGAAGCAATATTAATATAGTAAAGTAATTTAAACAAAAATTTGAATAATTAAATATTTAAATATTTATCTAGGTTTTAAATTATTTAATTACTAAAGCACATCATTATACACATGTTAATGGTCCAGAGGGCATCCAATTAAAAAAGCCTAAGATTATTCAAGAAAATTGACACCTGAAAAAAAAGAACAGATTGAGTTTTTTTTTAAAAATAAAGCAAATATAGTAATAAGTTCTTATAAGACAGATAGTGTTACTGAATTACCTATACACTATTTAAAAAATAATAAGAAGCCATTATAGAAGCAATTTTGTGAAGAGTATTCAGATGGTGCTAAAAGAACAACATTCTATAAATATTTAAAAGATGGCCAATATATATATAAGGAAAACTTAGATGGTCTTTGCTTAATCTGTAACATGTATGGATATTAAACATTTGATAAACTTCGAAGGCTAATACAATATCATGCTAACTTGGATTATCAGAAAAATTTTACATTATTGAAATTATATTATTTAAAATTATAAGATTTAATATGTCGAATGCTATTTGATACACTATTCGATATAAGGTAAAAAAGGATATTATAATAAATTCAACAAAAAATCTAGTATAAATTATAGTATACTAATTCAAATTAAATGATTTTTATATTATTCAATTTGTCTCATTAAGATAAATTGAATGGCACCAAAATCACTCAATTTTGATTACAGAATCACAAGATATCAGTATTTGAACATTGTACAAAGTTTTGGGATATCATAATGAATTTGTAGTAAGTCTAATGAAATTCAATTCAAATTAAATAATTTTTATATAATTCGATTCATCTTTAAGTGTTAAATTGAATGATACAAAAATTACTTAATTTTGATCACTGGGTTATGCATTCTGATATTATATATCAATTTTTTTTAACAAGACAATGTGTAATATTTAAACACTAATATTTCATAATCCAATGATTGAAATTAAGCAATTTTTACATTATTCAATTCTCCTTATCAAAATAAATCGAATGGTATAAAACTCATCTAGTTTGGATTAATAGGTTTAAACTTCCACTAAGTTCACCACAATGCTTCTTTTATTTTATAATTATTTATCAAGTGATTTCATAAATATACATATTTGTGAAATCATATGAAGCATCAAACAGCATTCTAAATATTTATTCAGTATGTCACTTGGGATTTTATTATCTTTTATATAAACTAACTAATAAAATTAAACAATGATAAAAAGCAATTACTAACTGAATGTAGTAACCTGCAAAGATATTTAAAAAAAAATTATAAAAATGAATTTAAAGTTGATTCTTTTGGTTATAAAAACATAATATCTGTATTAATTATTGCATGCTTTATGTCTTTGGAACTTGCTTAGAATCTCATAATCTAACTTGTGATTATTGTGATGCCTTTTTTCATTTATTTAGACAAATTAAAGAGCACATATCATCTGACCTTCATATGAAATTAAAGAAACTACAAG